TATGGGCTTTTTTTGTATACATAATGATCTAAGAATAAAATGACGACCTGTGGATGAACAACATGGTCGAAAAGCACCAAAAGCGTTCGGATGAACTCGGATTAGACCTACAGTGCTTACGAGGTGATTTGCTTTAGCTTACACACTTTTGTGTAGCGATTATCATGATTTTGCGACTCAAAATGCACGAAAATTTGGCTTTAGAAAAGCCCATAATTTTTTTCAGAACGACGCATCGCAGATATAGAAGGTATATCTGAGATCAGCTTTTTGAGCTCTACCCACTGGTATAGATCTCCTTCCGAATCGCCACTTCGACTAAGTAAACTTCCCTTGTCAGTACGGAGAGAGGGCCTAAAATGTTTCTCGAAAAGTTTTTTGGAAAATTTTAAAACTCAACTTATCTTCAAAATTTCAGGTTTTAACGTAATGCTTTCGATTTATTCTATCTAATTACAATTTTCACATCAATCGCATTCTTAATTACTAGGTCGTCCCGAAAGTTCTTGCGCACAATTTTCAAAAATCTGTAACTTTGCGCTGTTTCAACGGATTTGCTTGCCTGTAATTTCATTAAAAAGAATAAGTCTTTCGCTTTCAAATGCTTTTCCGTGGAGCTTCTGTTTCATACTGGGTGCGGAGATAAAAATGGAAAACTAAGACCGTGTAAACTTTGACCATTTTAAGTTAGGTCACCAAAAAATCGGAACGTTGCAGAAAAATCTGAAATCTTCAGTTACATATGTGGCCTACTCTTGCAATTGTGAAGAGCTTGCGCTGTTTGGACGTCTCTGTGAGAAGTTATGAATATCGAGTTTACTATGGAAAACGCCAAAATTAATTAATTTGTCGATTTTCGCGGAAATCACAACTTCTCACAGAGACGTCCAAACAGCACATACTCTTCACAATTGCAAAGGGTAGGCCAAAAAACATAAGTACTGACGACTTCAGATTTTTCTGCAGCGTAATTTTTGGCGACCTAACTTAAAATGGTTAAAGCTCACATGGTCTTAGTTTTCCATTTTTATCTCCGCATCCAATGTCAACCAGAAGCTCAGCAAAAAAGCATTTGAAAGCAAAAGAATTATTCTTTTTAATGAAATTACAGGCAAGCAAATCTTTGAAACAGCGTAAAGTTACAGATTTTTGAAAATTGTGCGCAAGAACTTTCGGGACGACCTAATATATTTCTGTTTCTAAAGCATTTTTTCATCACTCTGAAGACGCATCATTTCCCAATTATTTTTTCACATTTGTGTATGTCAACATCAAATTTGCTTTCAATTCTTTCGGCAAATTTTTCTAGCGTGAGCTGAACCTTTTGTGCCGGAGTATCTCAATCCTAAAGCAGCTATAAACAATCGCGTGAAAATCTCACCAAATTTGGCGCTACCCATTGGGTGGTCAATAAAATCTCATCTTCTTCGCTTGCAACTTTTTTGAACTCGTGCACTCTGATTAAATGCTATGATAACGAATTATATTCAAGACACCTACGCTTCTCCATATATAGTAAAGTTTTGGAATGTAACCTTAGCTGTCTATATGTGCTTGATTATTCCGATATCCGGAGTTCTTTACAACACGCTAGCTATTACTTATTCACATCGTCCTAATTGAGCACTTCTAAATAGAAAAACGTCACGGTTTTTTATAATATCAGTTATGTACTACTACACATTATCAAGAACCTTGAAAGTTTCATCCTCACTAGTCGTTCATTTTTACCGAGGAGTCAAGTCTCGATTAGAAATCAAGCTAGGAAAATTAAGTAGTTACAGTTGTTTTGATTCTTTCTTGGAGGTTTAGTAAAGAAGATCTGATCTGACGCAGCACTGGGGCACATCATTACATAATCCTACTACGAGGCATAGTCTCAAAATTTTATTTTTCATACAGTTAGACTCAGAATTTTGGTAAAACAAAATGAATCTTCACTCTGGAGTCCTTCACAATAAAATCATTAACCTTCTGCAACTGGAACAAAATCTTACTCTCAGTATTTTTCCTGTACAGAAACCGGTGAAATCTCGAGAATTTACTGAGTTACTTCCTCCCTTTATCCTGGCTAATACTCTATTCAAGGCACCAACTGACTCATCCATCAAACGCAAACTTGGCAGCTATCGCAAGAGTAATGCTATATGATATTGCAATTGGAGCAATGATGCATGAACTTGCATCAAACATTATTAATTTCACGAGAAGTTAATAGAGAAAAATGTTGGACGTGGAGGAATTTTTTTGTCAAATGTGCACTAAATTTCTTACTGCGGAATGTTTGTTTCCATGCATAACAAACTTTGTTTTTTGCCAATGAGGTATGCATGCTTAATTTGAGTGACTATGAATGTTTTCTGTTCTCCTTGCCCACAGCGCGTTTATACTTAAAAGGGGTTAAAGTACTGACGGAAGGGGCATCTAAATGCACTTTGCTTTCTCGATTTTACAAGAGATTTGTTCAATATAAAATTACCAAATAATTACAAAAAATGTTGACACATCTCCAACTTCCTGAATATTTACAATGTTTATTCGCTTGATTAGTTCGGGTATCAGTATAATTCAGTGCTACTATGTTACAGCTACTCAGTGTTTAAATTTTTTTACCTTACATAGTAATAATATCACTTTTCAAATAGTGGATTAAACTATTGAAACTACATCTCAGTATTTATCCCACGAATTCTGCACCAGATTTAAGAATCCGTTTCTTTCTTAATTTTACCATACTCAATAAAAATATTTATATAGTACCAAAAGGTTATGTATGCATTTCTTGTTGATTTTTTTCTGACTATCTGCGGTGCAAGACGTATATGCAATCTAAATTCAACAGTAGACTAGAGTTGCAAGTTTTAATAAACTGTGATAGAAATTCTTCAGAGCCATTGAGCTTTCCAGTGGTGCTCCTTTTCTTTCTCTAAATGGATTTATGACGTGTATTATGTCGCTGATAAATTATGCATGGTGCTATTGGATTGTTGCAGAAATATTAACTCAATACTTTTTGCACATGCTCCACTTTGTTGTTTGTCTTGTGGTCATTTTACATCATTTGATACCTCTTATTTTATTTATACAACTAATTCTCTATTCAAACAATAGCTTTTCATACTCAATCTGCCATTAACTGTTTCTAAGGAAAAATTACCTCATAATCACCATTGTAAGTCATACTTACATCGATTAATGCGTGTCGTTTAGATGACATTAGTATACGGCACGAGTCTGCATTAGTGTCAGCTTAGGTAAACTTCATGATGATGTCGATTATATACTTACTTCATTTTCGATAAACTACCGTTAAAATTTATTTCTTACATAAAATTGCGTTTCGTACATATGGCAGACACTGATCATTTCCGCTTATTCTGAATGATATTTTTTGAGGCAGTTTCTTTGGATGTGCGTAAATTTTGATGTTTGAGCTAAAACCAATGTTCGTACATCAGTTATTTATGGGCTCTTCGTATCGATAATCTTGCAACCGTACTTTCATGCATGTTTCTTTTTCATATCGAGATCTCTTTGATTTAAAATATAATCCTCAAATGTCATCAATTCCCAGTAACTTCTAGGGCCCAATGGCACTATACCCCTCCAAAAAAAAGTTCAGCAAACAAATGCCAAACGGCTATTTCCAAGTTCCATTTTGTTTGAACTTGGAATTAATAATATTTAAATTTTTTGTGCCTAAAGGGTTTATATGCTACATATCATCATAACAATCTTTGTATGGCACCTAAAAACTAAAGAATATCAACAGCCGACTATTTTCTGCCCCATTCTCATTTCTTTCATTGCCGCCAAGAATTGCCCCTACATGACACAATGTTCTTCTGCTCCTTTCTGAAAAATTGTAAATTCTATTGTACACGCGATATACATATATGTCTGCTATGTTAAATAAGAACATTTGAGCTTTAGAGCATAACTGCTTCAGTTTTTGGTGCATTCAAATGCACTCAAGCGGTTGTTTCCAACTGCAAACTGATTAAGACAAGGGTAGACATAAATACCCATATTTTTCATTTTCGGACACAACAATAAATCTCCTTAGCCATGCTTGATTTCGACAAAACTTCTTGTTTCGAGGTATCGTTTGTTGTTTCTGAGCAACGTCGTCATACTAACCCGAACTGAACCTTTATGTCATTTCCTTGCTAGTCAAGCATCAAGGAAGCATGTCATAGAACAACTCCTGCACTCTTGCATGCAATCTCGACTCAGCTGTTTCTTGACTAACAAGCCCGTCAATCAGATATGTGTTTTTTCTCTCTTAGCTATAATTGTCTTTGCAGCCAAGTTCATTAGTTCGCATGGTTATCAAGATAAAAGTATTGAATTACTACTTTCTGTGCAATCTTTATTTGTTTTTGGTGTATATAACATCTGTGCCTCAAATGTGGCCAAGGAAATCTATCTAAGCTTTTGCCAACTTGGTTAGGAAGCCATAATCAACCATTGCCCAAGCAGCAACTCATGTGACCTATTTGTGGCTGAAAAACTCAGTTCCAACTCAAGCCCAGCCCGTACTTTTACCGCAATCGAGGAAGTTCCAGTCTCAAACCCAGACCGTAATTTCAACCGTAACCGAGGACCACTCTCTACCGTAATCGAAAATGCGAATTGGTCCTCTAGAAAGAGTACGATTTTCGCCAAACCATAAATGATTCGTATAAACTGCTATTCCCGGAATACGTCAAGCAAAGACCTTCTTTTCCGAATACTATCCATATAACAACTATCTATAGAACTCCAGATATTTAGAACTACCTGGATACTCTCAATTCACTTTTTCAACATCACCTATTCCTTTTTTGAAAGCAAAAAATCGTTTTTTTCTTGGTCATATTGACGCATTGCTTAGTCGCTGTACGTTTCTAAATTTCCTTTGTATAACTAACTTGGTGTCATGATATCCAGGTCCACACTACTGGCACTTCCGTGATCTTCCGTACTGGCTCACAACAACTGCTTGAGCAAGAAATGCCATGCACTTGACAACTATCGATGGCGATGAAGATCTTCGCATTCACAATATTTCGATACTTCCATCGGATCAGTGCGCTACCGAAGATCAAAGGGTAAATCCCAACCCGTTGAGTAAACCAAAATTATGTTTGTGCCCATTACAGGCAGCGAAATGTTGCTGTGGTGACGGGTTTTTCTTCGATTTTCCTACAAAAAAGTGTATGGTAAGTGATTTTGCGCGCAATAGCAATTATAGCACTAATGCTATTGCTCGGTGAGTGCCTTGAAACGATTTTCTAGGTTTCGCTCAATGTTGGTTTTATGTTCGGTCGATTAAATAATGGTTGGTCCCATATGATTGTTTATGGATTTGCATATCCGATGCTTTTGCTCACAATGATTGCCCCATTGTGTGCAGTGATGTTAGGAATGGGAAAACGTGAAAAGCGCGAGGGTGATCGAAGATTTGTAAGTTTTCCGTAAAGCTTAATTTAAAAAAAACTAATTCCTATGATTCAGCCAAATCCTCTCTATCAAATGATCTGGTTACTTTCATTTTGTGGCTGGGTAAGCGTACTGGCACCACTTCCATTTACCGTATGGTACTATATAGTTGGCGAGGGAACGAGGTAAGAATGCAAGAGTTTTTTTAACAGGAATTTCTCCTGTTCAATATCCTTTGAAACAAAAATGAAGATTCTCAAATCTCGCTGCACACAGTGGTTGTCTCACATTTTGAGCTCGAAATAGTAGTCGTTCTTACGATAGAATTTCTGTAAGCGGTAGGTATACTCTGAAAGGCCATTCAGGATTTGCCATGACTTCAGTGAAAATATAACAGCCTCCTTATGAATATTGGTTCCACTTTTTACTACAAAGCCTCACTATGGTTTGTGACTAGAATAACACCAATATCGTCTTTACTTATCGCAGTCTAATATGAGGAGCTCTTTTGAGAACTAGACATGATGTGATCAGCATGTCAAGCCTCTATGCCGAGTTACAATTTGATATTTTGGCCTCGTACTACAGCCTACCCTACCGTAACCCCCTCCTCATCCTTAAAAGGAAAAACATTTCTCAAAATCAGCATGTCAAAAGAAACTGAAGTGCAAAGAGAAAGAAAAAAACTAAGATTTTGCATTTTTGAGTCGTAGACAGAGGAATAAATGCGGAATTCTGTTCAACCAATTTGTTCCAGCTGAATAACTTGGCATTTACTTACATTTTCTTACATTTCAGCGTCTACCGATTATTGTATAATCGCCTGATTATTTTTTCTTCAGGTCACTCAATCAATCAGTAGTTATGTGTCATGTATTTCGCACCACTATGGAAGCAATTCCACACACTGTTGACACTATGATGACACTATTTAGTGTTCTTCTAGCCGCAGCCAGGTCTGTTCTTTTTTTTTTATCAATTGGAAAAATCTCATTGCCTTGCTTAGGTTTCTTACTCAGTACCATCGAAATACGTTGAAGCTGAGGACCGTGGAAAGATTTTCTAGAGCCATATGGTTAATTATTTTTGTATGCATCGCTATTGGACTGTTGAGATTCTTTGAGCATGACACTACAGTCTACCAGTTTTGTATGGGTAAGTATGAACTATCAAAACTGGTTTTATATCTCAAAGGTACTGTGTCTTCAGATACGGAGCCAACTCCCAGATGGGCTTCTCGCTGTATGGTTCGGGATGGCGCTTTGATGAGCGTTCTGACAAGATCGTTTTGGAAGGTAAGCATGCTTTCATATATAGTTTTTGTACAGATTAGGATATACATTTTCGTGATCATAAATGTATCCAATAACTTATCTTATGGTTAGTGATTCGCAGATATCATTTGAAACACGCGATAGTTTGTTTTACCGTTTCTCCAATGTCTTGTTTAAATGAGCGTTTAAAATTTTATTATGTGCATGGTTGGATCTTTTGTGACCAATACCATAAATTGCTGCAGAGCTACAAACCAAGCTTTGTTGCCCAAGATATTATGATTGATACATGACGCTTTTCCCTTTTTGGATAAATTTCGACATTCTGAATAGAAACTAGATTATGAGCGTACACAAGGCTAGCTATATTGCTTTCTCTTTGTTCAAAAAGCTTAATTGTTCTTATGTATCTCTGGCCTGAACGGCCGACGTTCAACCACCGGGAATTTGTGTGATTGCACAAAATAGCACGGAAATCTGCTCACTCAATCTGTATCTAATGTGGTTTGATTCAGATATTCTTACCTTTGTCCGACTTTGTCGTACAATTCTTATTACCCGGCTGTCTGCTAGCACTACTTCACGTTGGATTTATTCGAGAACCAGAGATAGACATGGGGGATATGACCAGACAGTAAGTAATATTATGTAGTTCCAAAAGTTCGTTTGCACTCTTTTTAAAAATTCATAGCTTCTCATTTTTCCAACCGATTTGCTTCCTTAAATTTTTTGTTTCAGTGAGCACATTATGCTCTTCATAACAGTATCTCTCTATCTGCTTTCTAATGAGCATACTTGTATAGATAGCAGGGGTAGTAAAAATCACAAGTTTCAATATTGTGTTTGCCCGTAAAAAATTCGGAACTTGCAAGAATTGAAGAAGTCGGTTTATAGGTTTATTACCTGCTCCTTTTAGCTGGCAAAGTTTGTGCTAGTTAAACTTGTCTAAAATAGGTATGATTTTTGAAAAAGATGCCAAAAATGAAGAATGCTGTTTTGTACTGCTCGCTCGAAAATCGTGACTTTCGATGACGTTTAGTAAGCACAAAAACTGCACAGTTAGTTAGAGCAAGTAATAAAACTTATAATAACTTATAATACACGGGGTGGACGTATGAAACTAGTGATACCAAGAGCAAAGTCCAAAATCAGAGCAAATTTTTTTACTTGCCGAGTTTTATCTGATCTTGATTATATGGTAAAGAACGGAATGTTGACGGTTAAGCGACCTTCAAAACAAACATTAAGAGCTACTTACAATCAAAAAGCTGCGTTTGATCTTTCATACCTCAGGCTGGTTTTTTCCTTCATGTCGTCGTTACACGTTGTTTTATTGTTTTTTGTGTTAAGTTTTTGTTTTTGTTGTTCGGTTTTTGCACATAGGGGTAACCCTATGTAACAATAAAAAAACAACTGCTCCAATTTTTAGTGCAAGTGTCTTAGATTTTTTGAAGTTTTTTTTTAGTTTTAGATTTTTTCGACCAAACACAAAAAAATCATTTTTTTTTCTAGCACTTCTATCTATGCAATGTATACTTTGACTGTATACCTCCAGATACTGTTATGAAGAACATGATTTGCTCTTCAGAAGAAAAGTAAAAGTAAGCAAGTCGATTGGGAAAATCGGAAATTATGAATTTTTGAAAATGGTACGAACAAACTGTCGGAACAAGCTAGCTAGTAATCTCTAAATGAAATTTTGATTGCTATTTTTTTTAGCAATCGCTTTGGACGAACGCCTCGGGACCAAACGCGAATATTAATCACAACGGTGACCATTGCATTCCTCGTTGTTCAAGTGCCGACAGCTTTCATCACCACTTTGAGCCTCACAATAAATCATTTTCAAAATAATAATGCGCGTAAGCACTTTTCCTTCCAATTTTTTGTTCCTAATCTTCACATAATGGCCTAATTATTTTAATTGCAGTCATGTTACTTGCCTTAGTGACTGGTCATCTACAGCCGATGCTTTCGATCATTACCATTGCCGCTAATTGTGCAGCATTATTAACTGCCTATTATGTGATTGTCAAGGTATTTTCCACTTCTATAATTCCATCATCTGACAGATGTTTTCAAAGGACGACGACGTAGACGTTGGCGATTCACGCTGTTCACTTTCGGAGACAGAAGGACCTCATGAAATGCTGTTACGACAACAGCGGGAACGACGAAACACAAGGCAAGTGTGAGCAAATAGCTTGAGCGCAGACGGGGCGGGGGGAGGAGGGGGGGGGGGAGGGGAGAAGGTAAGATAAGGAAGGGGTGCAGGAAGAAAGCGGGATAGTCGGTCGGGATGTAAGAACGTATTGAGAAAGAGGATGCAGTGGGCTACCTATGGATCGAATATCGGCTGTATATCCCTTTTCCTCCAAATTCCTTAAAGGCACCGTCCACCCAGATTCTCGACTTCTATAATTTGGCGTTCCGAGGCCTTCTCAGGTCCCTGATTTATTCAAGAATTCCTGACCCCGGCAATCCCCGTTCTAAAAACCCGCGCGGCGGTCTCCGGCACGGTGATTAATCGTGCAGGCACGGGTGGGCGGGACTTACTATAGAGGGCGTTGTCGCCCAGGGATCCTCTGCTCTTTTGTTATTCCGTAGTGATTTTCTCGCTTCTAAAGCGGCATTTTGAGCCACAACTTGGGAATTGCCTTGATGGAGGCCCCTACTATCATGCACTGTCAAAAGCTCAAGACATTTTACTGAGGGTGCACGGTGCCTTTTAAAATAGTGTTTGCATCAACTGATCCGCTGACCCCTGGCTCAAGTTTTAGCGAAATTCGTGGATGACCCCCTTATCTTAGGCCCCGGGCAGACTTCACGCGATTTGATCGTCGCGACTGAATCGCGAGGAGACAACTGTTACAACATCATTCCATGCAGATCAACTTGCATTCGGTTGTGATACTTTTCCAGACCGAAATTTTTGAATGTGAAATGAAAATGAATGGAAATCTTGGCGATTTGGTCGCGACGATTAAGTCGCGTGAAGTCTGACCGGGGCCTTACACCTCCATCATTCGTTGAAATTTTCCTGTTGAACAGTGTACTGTTTGGCAGGAGCTAGTTAGGCACTTCTCCTCTCTCCTCCGACCCCCATCAAACTAGGAGTATATTGGATTTTTCACGAGTTTCATTAGGAGAGTGCCATACTATGCTAACGCCCAGCTCAAAATTCTGGTGAGATCCTGCCTTGGAGTGGTACCGGCAAATTCTTAATTTTGTCGTTGCCATTATTTACGAGTTTTTTGCCCGTTGCCATCAGTTTCCGCATACAACTTGAAGACAAAAATCATAAAACACTAAAACAATGTTCAGGGCGTCAAGAATATCCATGAGACGTTTGAGCAGGAGGTATAGTTAGCACAAGTTCCACGCAGCTTTGCATGTCTATATGCTTAGCGTTTTCTGCCTGAGCTAATAAAATATTCTTTTTGCGATTTTGTCTTGTCTTCTGTATGTCCCGCTGCAATAAATATTTGCAGGATTTCAAGGACCTATCTGAGCGTCAGCCATTCATTCGACACCGGCTCGTTGCGATCTTTCTCGAGGAAAGGATCATCCATTCCGAATGATGTTCTCTAACACTCGCCTTTTTATTCATCTGATATCCTTTACTGCAAATCCATTAGGGAATGATAGGATCGATATGTATTGTTAATCTTCCGATGCTGAAAAAGTAGCAGTCTACAGTCTGTTGCAATCGTAGTGTCCCTCCTGCGTAAGGTTACGCATCGCAGCGCGTTCCTCACGTGTCAGTGATCGATGTGGGAGCTTGCTGTCTGAAGCAGCCCTGAGCAAATGTTCGCGGCGTACGCGAACATTTGCTCAAGCCAAATGTCCGCGTACGCCGCGTATGGCATTCGCGCGACGACCGGATTGATCGGACTAAGACACTATGATTGGGACAGAGTGTATTTACTACATTTGCCATTTCATAAGATTTTTGCTGCCTTCTTTTACCTTCGCTCTAAGAGCAATGGATCTCCAATTTCGAAGTACAACTCTGGAAATGCTTGTGGCTTGCTCATAATATTCTTTTGTCGTAAATAAATGTCTACTCGCATTATCTCGCTCAAATAACAACAAAAAACGTAAATATTAGTAAAGTCAAGGAACTTATGACGATTCCGTACAAGGAAGTTTACAACGAGTATTTTACGCGTGTTTTTTGCATACACTGAAGAAAAAGCGCTTCATGTTAATTTGATCATTATAAAGATGTCGTAGATGTTTCTTTGTTTTGATTTTGCCTACGCATTTACAGTTTCGTGCAAGAGAATGATGTGTGCTAAAGAACGGGACTATCTGCTCCTTCGATTTCAAAAACTTGGCCTTGAATGAGCATAAATGATTTCTCAAGAAACACTAGTGAAACAAGAATCCAGCAAACTTATTATTAGTAGATTTACAACATATGTTTAGAAAGCGAGATTTCGAGCAGTTTCATAGGATCTTAATGTCAGTCGCAGTTGAAAAGTTTCTTCTAATTTATACATACGAAATCGTCTCATTTCACAATCTACTGCCAATGCAAGTTCTATACATATTTTCATCGAAAAGCAGACTTGAAATTTAAACTCAAAATGAACCCTATAAAATCGCGCTACAGAAGGAAGGAGGCATTCCGATTCTTGACGTTTGCTATACATTTCTATACGTACATGCAGTTGACGGAATTGACAATTCTAAAATATAATATCAGTGCTTCAAAGACTGTGAAACTTGCTTACATTATGGCTCCATCCTTACTGTAACGCCATTTCTGTTGAGCATCACAGGTTAACGTAGCGGTCACAACTTTCCCTTCATATGGTCCACCGTAACGGCGATTGAACTGAAAATATTTTGTCTTCATTTGGACGGAATAATGGAAAATGTATATTGGTTTCTTACAAACCTCCATGGACGCCTTAGTTGCTCCGGCTGGTGCCGTACAAATGACGTTTATTCGTTTGCAGCCGGCTGCTGTATTTGCCACCACCCTAAGTATCAAAGTTGAGAAAACCGTGGTCATATATCTTTGGTTTGCTTACTTATTTGTAGGCTTAACTGTTCCCGGGCCAGAAGCTGCCATCAAAACAGCAGTTCTTGGCAGACATTTGGCACAAGCGGCTGAAATAATATAACAAGAAGGTAAAGATTACAAGCAAACTTGGATGCTGCACTTACGCACTGGCTTCTTCGTGGTCGCAGCCTACAAAAGGCAAATTTGAAAATATGTGTAGAATTCATTTTATGTATTTGTCGCTAGTGACCGTCTAACAGCTATGATGGACTGAAAGACTAGCAATCTGACTGAAGAACAAGTAATATACTTTCAGTCGATATGGTCACTCAGGAGAAATCCACGATTGGATTTGGTTGACATGAAAATTTTCACAAATCTCATTCCTGTGCTTGACAAGCGAATATGGCTATGAAGGATTGTGCTCATAACCATAAAACCTGAGTATTATTATTATTTAACATAAAAGCTATAGCAAACTTGGCGTAGAACATTTATATCATAAAGGTATTTCTTTCAACGTAAAGCAAAAATTCGAGCAGGCAGCTGTTTCAAATATCCTTCTTCACCAAACAGGGCAGTTTTCTAATCGAACAGTCATTCAAACCCTCTGCATAGTATGCTAAGCATACATCACTCTATTATTCATGAAAGATCACGAGGCGCACTGTTCCTTAACGTTATTGCACACTCAAACGTTGTCCAGAAATTTTAGTAACAGCGTAAGAAAGTTTGCAGGTACATATAGTGGATCCAATCCAATCAATTTCCACAAGAATGTCTTTCTGTCTGACCACCAAAGACTTTGAAGAACTCTTCTACTAGGTTCCAATAACTAGAAAATCCAGCAAGTTAGCCCAAAACGTAGTAATTGTATTCAGTAAAAAAAAACAGTGTCGTCGTTAAGACCTTACCATAGCGTCGTTTAGTTGGTATTACATTCATGAAAATTCAATTCATACGAAACCCAGTACTCACCGACATGACTCCAACGGTGGCGAAAAATAGTGTGAAATGAAGAACATTCATTGCCTCAATAATGGAGTCGATTACCTCCCGTTTTATATGGACTCATATGGTTCCTGTATCGCACTAGTCGTTGACCCATGTCGAAGAGATTGTAGGTCCTATATTCAATAGACAAGGGTCGAGTCGTCCACTTTAAGGCGTTCCTGAATAGTTGTGGAGAAGGATTGGAAGGTCTTTCTTTCACAGAACCAAGAATGGAGGTGAAGGCTGGGCTTAGGTACCAAAGCGAGCAAAGCTTCTGATAGACTTGATTTTAGATTTTTGAACATCATAGTTTTTTTGCATAATTATGCAGTTCACACCAAAAATCATTACGCAATCCTAGGTGTTAAACCATTCCAACCTTGGGTACTAGCATTAATTTTGGAAATCTGGTAAATCCGATTTTATTGTTAATCACGTGAATTACAAGCACAAAGGTCGTAGCGAGCCATTGGTCTATGCTTTTTGAAAGTTCCGCATCAACTCGCTAATCGAAATTATAAATTTGATAGAAATGTTCGTGTTTTGTGAATTTGAGTTTCATGAAGAAATTAACGTAAATCTGGGTACTTTTGTTTATTGTCTGCATGAAAAACTTAGTTAGGAACTACAGATGATGATTTTGCAGACACAAACTTCATTTCATTGAAAAATACTGTCCACAGAGTTCAAAATGATTTTTCTGTTTATTGTTTTCGTTGTCTACGTACATATTTGCAGCAGAAACAAACATAATCCTTGAATATATACATGTGAATTTGATGTCTGTGGATATGGATGGCTATAAAAGTGGAAGGTGAGGCTTAGGTGTTCAATCCGAAAATTTTTTTACAAAGTGTTTTTGTCGAACTCAAAACTGAGCTAGCTGGTTGCACCTTTGATTAACGAATTTTTTTAGGTGCAAAGATGCTCTTCCAGCTGGTCGCTCTGATTGCTTTTCTTTCAACAACTGAGGTCAGTCATATTAGATAAAAGTTTAATAATAAACCTGCTTCAGAATTAATTCAAATTAAGCTCTTGAATTTCGGAATTTTGTTCAATTTTTAATGAGTTTAGTAAAATTTTTTGTCCGAATTAAAGTATACAGTCCTTTGGACCCATAGCAAATATTTCAGACTGCAACAACAACGGCGCAGCCTTCAAGTAAGTTTTGAACATCCTTACAAAGTAAATGGAAGTCAGCATGGGATCCTGTAAAGAAAAATTTTTTTGCTGCCCGCAAGGGACTTCTTATTTTCAATACTTTCGCTCCAACAATGACCTCGAAAATCTGAAAAAGTTTAGTTTGCACAAGATGCCAAAATGGCACACTGACACTGACTCCAGCTGATAATACGCCAGGATCCATAACTCCGAGATTGGAGTAAGAATTTTGGGCAGTATTTGAGCCATTAATATTGGCTGCTTTAGTTGTTATTCAAAGTTGTACTTTATTGCTCTTGCACTTCCTGTTGATTCAAAAGGATTGGCGGCTGGAAGGCGACCGCTCGCAACGCGACGCAGTCTGCGTCCCTCTCGCACTCGTGCTCTCTGATCAATTCCTAGCCTTTGAAACCCTCCCCCTTTCAGCCGCCAATCCTGTTGAATCAAAGAATACATAATTGGTCCAATTTTTTGATTAAAAAATACTTTGGCTTAAGGCCTGTGGCCAACACCGCAGGAGGATGCAAACGCGTAAGTGTGAGGTGCGACCCACCTGCAGGCTATACCACGACCCTCATGGTGGTGAGAATATTTCTTCGTGGAAATGAAAATTTCTTGCTTTTTCCTCGTAATCGATCATCATCTCAAAATTTTAGTTCAACATGGCAGATGCACCAGTACAAGGACGAAACGTCACACAATTGTTTTTGTGCAACCAAGGCGCGTGGCGCGGAAGTATCAATGGTACTAATAGGTAAGACCTAGTAGATTTTGGTTGATTTAGTGCTCCTGCGGTGACGACAGGATTTGCGCGGAACGAATGTCATGCTTGTAAACGTAGAAAATGATCATGGACCGCACATTTTCCCTGTTTACGCGCAAATATTGTCGGCAACGCAAAACCACCAAAAGCAAAATATCGCCGTGAAATTTTCATACATATTATTTCAGATACGTGTACAATGTGAAATGCTATGCAGTGTAAATTCTTCGAAAATTTTGCGAACGAACACATTGTTGATCCCGTACCATATATTTTTATTAAAAACTTGAATAAATGATTTTTGGCAGTGCACCTACATCACCCCTATGCGTTTTGTAAGTTTTCTGTTGGCAACATTATCGCTCTTTACCCTAGCAAATAGACAGTGACAGTATATAGTGATACATTTCTCACACCAACACATTTACATATGACATTCTTCTTTGTTTTTCTTGAATGATCTTGAAACGAAGTTTTTTTTTGGAAAAAGGAGTCAGAAAAAAAGTAATAAGGCGCTACCTTGACTTTGCGAATAACAAATGCAAGTAAAAAGTCGCCATTTCTTTTTGGGATTCAAATGCGCTACAGGCTCATGCATTCCTTCATCAAGCATAATGTTTACAAAAACTCCTAATTTCGAACAGCTGGCTCAGATGGTGCTGTCTTTCAGCGAGAAGTGAAAAACAACGGTGCAGACAATTTTACTGGGGGGGGGTCTGTCGTGGGTTTTATTGCGCTCCTCTAAATGTATAAAACATCTCCGCATATTTCAAAAACTAGTGAAAGGCAAGGATTAAGGGGCTACTAGCAAAAATGAAGACGTCAGTCCAGACAGTGAACAACGGGTTGAAAGTGTGCATAGTCATTGAAATTTTGACACACTTGGATTAGCAAAGGTGGGATAGAAGTTGAAATCAACTTCAAATCTGGAATTTGGAAACTTGCAGAAATTTTGCATACCGTTTTTGTAAGATCTCATACACGTCCTATACAGAGGCAGCAAAATCACCTTTATTGCCTTGGGTGCCAGAAGGATACTGGACGGGCTTAAGGATGGATCGAGTATGCATTCGTTTTTACCAACCATCATTATCGTAATGTAATAGTCAAATCAGAATTTGGCTGCCTTTATCTTTCGAAATAATCGCAATTTGAAACTACTCTGTACGCAAGCATGACTTTGAAAATTTACGTAATACCTTTTAAAAACCTTTTTCTTTGCTAAGTAATTGTGCACGAAAGTAGAGCAAGCCTTCGACTCTAATATACTAAATACTGTACGGAATTTTGAAAATTAATTCGACGAAATTTTTGATTTTTCAAAACATGGTTGAGGGGCAGCATACCGAAAATTGGTGTAATTTCGGTTTTCATGAGTGCGCCTTAGAATCAGAAAATGCTCTTTAAATCATATTCAAAACCATTCTAACTAATCGGTCTTGTTTACTTTACATGTTTCATTAATAGAAAATTGCGTTTTATCTGGAAGGTTTTGATATCTGGGGTCCCATAATCGATTTTGAACATAAGGGTCATTACTCGTGCGCAGTTTTTTTTTTCGCAAATACATTTTCTTGTTTCGTGAAGGAACAAATTCTGCAAACGCACTAGGCCACTGTGCTAATTGTGCTGTACATTACAAGGGAATGGGCGAGGAGGCGAATGAGGCTCTGTACGGCTAAATTTTCAATTTCACGCATAATTTCTAAGCAAATTAATGGTCTTTAATGGCTTATAACTTCGTCCAGAAAAGCGATAAGCAGATAAAAAAGGCAGATTTAGAGTCAGCGCTTCATGCTGCATCAAACGCTATGCAGCTTGTCTGGAATGGCCACTTCGATTTCTGACCATTCCCTTGTTAGCTTGGAGAGTCTAAAAAGGCCTTAAGTTTTAGTTGCAGTGCAAGTTCTGGAGCATTTCTCTTGATTTCTTGAAAAAAGCCTTTTCAACTTCTGTAAAATGTATATTGTAGAGATTGATTAGTACATTCTACATAAATCTGTGCTTGTGTTTTTCAATGTTCTCTTCATGGCGCTGTTTGTAAAGTTGGCGCCGGTATTGGCGCATCTAGGGCTCTGCGTGATCGCGAGTCGTTGGGCTTACGGCCATTGCACGCGCATTAAACTATTTCAGTTTTCTTTCTCCTTCCAAAGGCTAATTTGCTATTAAGTGTTACCTTCCAATTACCTGAAACAATTTTGAAAAGTAAGAAATTGTTAAAGTGGTTTGAGGGCTTGTGGCATCCTGCGTGTGCAACGGCCGCAAATTCAGCGACGCTCGCGGTCACGCAGAGCCCTATACAATGCGGAAACGGTAGTGTTTCCGAGGTCAGCACATGGAATAATCTCTCGCTTCCCCTCCCCGCCCCCGTGGTGATGTGTGTTTTTTTTTCCACCTTACAACGTGGAATTATCGTCCTCATTGCGTATGCAAAACTTGGCAAAACAAAGGCTGATTTTGTAGCTCACGTCACAGGCCGCATAGGGGTAAAGTTTGAGTGCTGAAGAAGAGAAGAATTATAAAAAAACGGTAACTCAGGCCTGTGGTAGACTTTCCGCCAACTCGGCTTAGGTGATCTCAAATTGAACACGTTGCCTCAGCGCATTATAAGTGCCATCGATCTTGATGCAGACCATTCTGTGGACATGATAAAAGATACTTCCCAAAATCTATATTCATTACGTGGTCATTCGAATACAGAGACAAACTATTAGATTGGAAACTAAGGCCTGGATTACTCCGGTCAACTTAGTTGAGCTGGGCTGATTTCTCTGAAGAACTTCGTAAGTCGACTTATAACCGCCCACCTTCTCAAGCTTTAGATGGTAAGTTCAACAGTCAGAAGCCGGTCCTGTCAAGTTTCATGATCAGTTCAATGTGCTGCGCGTAAGCTGAACTAACGAAATAGTGGGCAGAAGCGGGACGACAAAAATCTTGTAAGTTGTGTGACAACTTAAACAGGACACATGAGCTGATGTGATGCCACGGACGAAGGGTGCGCAGCACTGCACAATTTCGGGAAGCTGCGTGTGAAAAGAGTCTAAACAGCTGATTGCAGCCACGAATAATAAGGTTTGCCAGTTTTTTTTTGTGCAGAGAGTGTCAATATAAT